AGAGAGAGACAGAGATAAAGGTCTTCCTTTTGCTGATGGTTCACCCTCCAATGGCCGCCACGGCCAGCGCGCTGCAGCTGATGCATCGCGCCAATCTGAAGCCAGGAGCCAGGTACTTCTCCTGGTCTCCCATGGGGTGCAGGGCCCAAGCACTTGGGCCCATCCTCCACTACACTCCCTGGCCACAGCAGAGAGCTGGACTGGAAGAGGGGCAACCAGGACAGAATCCAGCGCACCGACCGGGACTAGAACCCGGTGTGCCGGCGCTGTTAGGATTAGCCTATTGAGCCACGGCGCCGGCCTCTGTCGATAATCTTGAAAGAACAGTCCTAGCTGAGAGGCCAAGGAGTGAAGTGAAGGAGTGAAATGGACTGGCTACATCTCATTCCCTTTGCTTCCTTGCCATTCCCTCATTTCTCAGGTTGGGTTCTATCCCAGAACTCTGTGAAAACTGTTCTACCATTGGTCACTCATGACCCTGTTGTCACTAAACTAGGCGGTCCTTGTCTTGAACTTCAGACTTCCATTCATATCACCTAACTGTGGTTTCTGTGATGCTTTGCCCACATTTCTCTTCTATGTTAATATGGACTAGATGAAATTATATATAGTTGCCGCTTAGCACCTTTCTTCCCTCTCTCCACCTACTATCCCTTAATAAGCTCATCTAAATCCACAACTGAGCTGCCACTCAAATCTGCATCGCTTGCTCTGACATCTCTCTAGTCTGCTTGTCTCTTGGAATTTGGATCACGGCTTGAAGTCCTACCAATATCTCGAAGTTAGCATATCCAAACTTAGACTTAAAACCCTTTATCTTAAAAATGCCTGTCATGCTTTCCCTACATCGTTTATGGAATCCATTCAAAATGCCAAACTAGCAATTTAAATCATTCTTGACTCTTTTCCTTTCGTGTTATCCAGTATGATTATCACATGTACAGCATCAATCATATCTGCTTCTAATTCTCCAGTCCCACAATTATTGCCCCATGGGATCACCTCGCCATATTACACATCGCTGCCCTTGGTTCCCAACATAACCTAAATCTCTGCATTCTGTGCCTCAACCCAATATGACTATTAACTTTTCTCTGAATACACTTATGCTTCCCATCCTTACTCTCCATACTCCACTGCTCTCTGGATTCTACTCATCATATGAGACCCTACTCAAATGTAATCGTCACTATGAACCCTGGTTTGATTCCCCAGATAAGAGAGAATCACTCCTGAGGCCGGAACTGTGGCGCAGTGGGTTAACACCCTGGCCTGAAGCACCAGCATCCCATATGGGCACCGGTTCTAGTCCTGGCTGCTCCTCTTCCGATCCAGCTCTCTGCTACGGCCTGGGATAGCAGCGGAAGACGGCTCAAGTCCTTGGGCCCCTGCACCCATGTGGGAGACCTGGAGGAGGCTCCTGGCTCCTAGCTTCAGATCGGCGCAGCTCTAGCCTTTGTGGCCATCTGGGGAGTGAACCAGTGGATGGAAGACCTCTCTCTCTGTAACTCTTTCAAATAAGTTAAAAAAAAAAAAGAATCACTCCTAAAAAGAATCACTCCTTCCTTCTTTTAACTGTCATATTTATACCTCCAAGTGTGGCACATGTCACATTCTGTCTTAGCATAGGGCCTGGTATTTATTAAATATTCAAGAATTGTAAGCTGTTTTATCACTAGAAAACTTATCTTCCTAACCCAGTGTAAACTTCCTGATGGCTGGGACCTCCAAAGAGCCCTCCAAAAAGGCACTGTGCCAGGATCAGGATAATCACAACTCAATATCTAAAATGTTAGCCAACCTTATATCTAATTCACCAGAAAGTCACCCAGCGCACAATGTTATGGTTGGTGCCAGTAAAAGGGGAACTTACTACTAAGACATCTAATAAAAATAGATAAAATATAGTATAGTTTGCAAATAATAAATTATAAAGCATTACTCACAGAAAAGTTTTTGCATTATAATTCAAAACTCCTCTTCTAGCCAGAGTGCTAAGAAATAACTGATTGGTGAGGGAAAGTTTGTTTTGGGTTCCTCTTTCTACCTAATTTGGGAAGTTATTTGGTTTGAGAAGAATGATTAATCTAATGAAGTTTCTATAAATTCATAGCATATGACTCAAAAGATAGCCACGATTTTACAAACACCTAATAAGTACAGATTCCCATCAGAAACCCTACCACTAAGCTGCAAACAAAGACCTAAACTGGCATCCTACGCCTATCGTTAGGTACCTAATATAGCCATGTCACCAGACTTTGATTCTCAGATGATTTAAAAGCAAAATACAGAGAAAGATCCTTACCTGTCACTGAAGGCCTCTATGAAGCCCCAAGAGGATACTTTACGTAAGGTACTACATAGACCCCATTTGCCATCATTTGCTTATGCATTCAACAAACATCTACCTCTACGCCCAAACCCTGGGCCAGCCTCAGGTATTCAATGCCGAAAAAGCTTCTTTCTGCCCTTGGAAGCTTACAAACCAGAAGAGGGAGAGGGTCATGAAAAGAAAGCAATGCTACAGGCACTAAATGGCAGAAATATGGCCCGCGTAGAGTGGCAGGAGCGGAGAGTCTTCAGATCTGTCTGGTCACAGAGAATGGTGGTGAGGAAGGGCTCCAGGCCAAGCGGTCACACCTGAGCTCTGCTCGTCCTCTGTGGAATCACCACTCAGTAGGAGCCCCTCAACTCTTCCCTCCTCCGTTAATCAAGCTATGTCTCTGTTACCTACGATTCTAGAACCCAAAAAGTTCTCAAAATATGCACTTCTTTGCTAAGTGATTTGGCGGTGAAATCTGCCCCGAACTGATGAAAGGCTCTTGATTATCAATATTTTCCCCACTAGTTAGGAAATCTCGTTAATAATTTCATCATCCGCCTACCACCTGTGCCAGGGACTGAGTCATCCTTGGCTGCCTGTTCTCTCATACTCCAAAGCCAGCTGATCACCAACCCATTTCAACTGTAGCCCTCAAATAGGACCCTACTTGTGCCTTCCTCTCTGACTCCCTCCACTGCCTCAGCTAAGGCACTCGGCCTCAGCACTGTAACTGTCTTCTGACCCTGTGCCTACCTGCGCTCCTCACGGTTCAGCATCCACATGGCCAGCTTGACCCTTCTCAAATGGACACTGGATGGTGTAGTTTTCTTGCTTTGAATTCTCCGACGTTGCAGCACAATCTAGGGAAAGCTAATGCTCCAACTCTTGAGCCTGCTGTAAAACGTTTGCCCAGATCTGATGAGTTTCCTTGAGTTCTATGCAACATACATTGCAGTCCTGCAGAAATATGGCTCCCAAGAGGTGCCACCCTCTTTCACCCCATCTGCCTTCACACAAGCTCTTTCTACTCCAAATATTCCCTGTGTTCTTCCACTCTACTCTCTGATTCCTATTTATCTGCCAAGTTTACTTATCAACTTCCCATCCAATATGGAAAACGAAACCAGGCATCCTTCCCTTCCCCTGTTGCAGGCAATGCTGGTCATGCCCTCTGCTTTGTCCATTTCTGAACGTGAACTTAATGTTTATGGACGAGGTCTTCGAAAATGCTGGAATCAGAGCTTACATCCAGTACGGAGCAGGTGTCCAACAAAGACCCCGCCTGAATGAACAATCCTTCCAACTTCCCCAGACGTCTCACTCCACTCTATCAGCTCTCCTCCCACAGCAGCTCTGGAACTATTCTGTCTTTATCTTCCTTCACTTACAGTCTTCATTCCTGCCTCATCATGAGAAAAGAAAGAGGAGGCAATTGTGGAGTGACAAAGCCCTAGGCGAGGGTTTCCTAATGTGGGCCCTGACAACATTCCGGACTGGATAATTCTTTGTTGTGGAGCTGTCCCGTGCGCTGCAAGTGCATTAGCAGCATTTCTGACCTCTGCCCACTCGAAGCCGGTAGTACCCTCCTCCAGCTGGCACTGCCAAAATGTCTCCAGACATGACCAAATGTCCCCCAGGGACCAGGGAGGGGGGCAGCCCTTGAATGAGGATCACTGCCCTAGACTGACTTGGGAAAGACAAAGATCAACATGTGACAGCTGCTCCGTGGCCTCCTCTACCCTCCAGGTGCGAAGCAATGGAGAGAGGATCCAGGCCACATCAGTGGCGCTGTCAGGGGTGTACATGGCCGACAAGAGTAGGCTGCAGTGACACTGAGAGGAGCTTGGCACTGAGCAGCCCTGAGATGACTTCCTGTTGTCCGAGTTCCAGACTTCAGGATTTGTTTGCATTGGGATGTTCGTGAGCTTGATTTATTCAGGGCCCGTGAGATAACCAGCTAGAGGGATACAGGATACTGTCATGGAAAGTCAAGAACCCTTCTGAGATCTTGTTTTGCAAAAGAGCATACTTAAAATGGAAATAAATACACTGAGTGAAGCATTAAGGTACAAATAACAGAGAAGGGATGGAAGACATCACACCGACAGCACAGGAAACGAGACCGTCTAGGAGATGAGAGAGAGAAAGAGAGAGAGAGAGAGCGAGCGAGCCCTGGCATGGGACCCACCTGTCGTGGACACGACACTCTCGGCGCTTTCACTGCAGAGCTTCGACAGCAGACTGGTCTTGCCGGAACCCGTGAGGCCTATGCAAACCAGGTCATATTCTGGGCGTGCAGGTGGGGGTCCCTTGCAGCACAGTGCTCTAAAACACTGCAAAGAAAGGGGGAAATGGAATTCTTTTAAATAGGGAGACACACCTTAGTAATACATAAATATACATAAATACTAACAAGTCCTTAAATAAATCTATTGTTAGGAGGAAAATGGTAACATTGGAGCAAAGAAATTTGGAGGAAGCCGCATTCACCAAAGGGTCAAAGTTACCATCCTCATTCCTAGACCTCTGTCCACCTCTCGGCCTCACGTCCCACCACGGCAGGTGCATCGGAAGCAGCCTGACTTCAACACACAGCAGTGTGGCCAAAATTGCACAACCTGAATGTCACGGTGAGGAACGTGGACCGAGTCAGTCTGACGAGCACTCTCTCCAGACACCGTCTATTCTCTAAAACACAATGCATCCTGGGTCAGAAGGGGGAAATGCCATCAACCACATTACTGGGACACGAGGTAAGGACTCAGTATAGGGGGCATTTTTATTTTATTTTATTTATTTTGGTTTTTTGACAGGCAGAGTGGACAGTGAGAGAGAGAGACAGAGAGAAAGGTCTTCCTTTGCCATTGGTTCACCCTCCAATAGCCACCGCGGCTGGCGAGCTGCAGCCAGCGCACCGTGCTGATCCGATGGCAGGAGCCAGGTACTTATCCTTGTCTCCCATGGGGTGCAGGGCCCAAGCACTTGGGCCATCCTCCACTGCACTCCCTGGCCACAGCAGAGAGCTGGCCTGGAAGAGGGGCAACCAGGACAGAATCCGGTGCCCCGACCAGGACTAGAACCCAGTGTGCCAGTGCTGCAAGGAGGAAGATTAGCCTAATGAGCCATGGCACCAGCATATTAGTTAACAGTGTTGCATAAGGTAAACTTTTCTGAATTTAGTAACTGCTCTGTGCTCACACGAGGAAAATCATCGTTCTAAGAAAACATCAAGTTAAGTACTAGAGGTGAAGGGTCTTGATGCCTGCCATTAACTGGCTCAGAAAAACGCTCAGGGGCTCGGCACCGTGGCTCGCTTGGTTAATCCTCCACCCTAAAGCGCTGGCATCCCATATGAGTGCCGGGTTCTGTCCCGGTTGCCCCTCTTCCAGGCCAGCTCTCTGCTGTGGCCCGGGAAGGCAGTGGAGGATGGTCCGAGTGCTTGGGCCCCTGCACCTGCGTGAGAGACCAGGAGAAGCACCTGGCTCCTGGCTTCCGATCGGTGCAGCGCCGGCCGTAGCGGCCATTTGGGGGTGAACCAACAGAAGGAAGGCTTTTCTCTCTGTCTCTCTCTCTCACTGTCCACTCTGCCTGTCAAATAAATTAAAAAAGAAAAAAAAAAAGACAAACGCTCAGTCTCTACCTCCAGCTCCATCACTATCTGGTAAGCCAAGTGAAAAAGCCAACGCAGGAAAAGGTTCACAACTGGAGAAGTGGAGTGAGCAGTCTACAGGAAAATTCCTTCTTCTAGACTTAGAACCCTTGGATATCATTTCAAAATAAATAAAAAGATGCAAAGAATAATTAGGAACAGTCCCTACACACATCACTGCCTTCTCGGTCTGCTCAATTCCATGCTAGGTCAGATGACCTCAGGGTGCTATGTTCTGTAGTATAGCCTGTGCACTGCACAAACCTGTTTGGTCTGCAAGAGTTAAAAACAGGAGATCTGGGAGACAGGCTATCACTCATGCAGTTTTTGATCTTTCTATTTATCCCATATCCATTTACTAGTGGCCACCTACATGCTGGCTGGTAGAACCTGAAATATCTAGGCCTTGAATGATTCAGGAGACAAAGAAAGAGGGAGAGCAGGAGAGAGTGAGATCTACTCACTTCTGGGCCACCTGGAGATCAGGAGAGAAGAGCCCTAAACAAGACCAAGACTTCTCACTCATCACATAGGAACCCTCACTGGCTGTCAGATGCTCACAACCAAGCGAGATTTCCTCATTTCTCACATGCAGTCCACAAGGCTCACCCAGATGACCCCTGAAATAGCTCTGGCATCCAGGTGCTTCTCTCCAGCCCAGGCAACATCTACACTGTCCCACTGCTGCCAGCACATTCACTCTTGCCCTCCTGTTCTCCACAAGCAGCCAGAGACTGCTTCCTTGGGAAAAGGAAACCTAGTCATACCTGCTTAAACTGCACCAGGACAGCCCCCTGCTCTTGGGCTCAAACCCTTACCCTGGTCTACAAGGCCTGCAGATCCACTGCAGCCCACACCAACAGGCTTTTTTTGACAGGCAGAGTGGACAGTGAGAGAGAGAGACAGAGAGAAAGGTCTTCCTTTGCCGTTGGTTCACCCTCCAATGGCCACTGTGGCTGGTGCACCGCGCTGATCCGAAGGCAGGAGCCAGTTGCTTCCTCCTGGTCTCCCATGCAGGTACAGGGCCCAAGCACTTGGGCCATCCTCCACTGCACTCCCAGGCCACAGCAGACAGCTGGACTGGAAGAAGAACAACCGGGACAGAATCCAGCACCCCGACCAGGACTAGAACCTGGGGTGCCGGCGCCACAGGTGGAGGATTAGCCTAGTGAGCCGCAGCGCCAGCCAGGAATCTACTTTCTCCACAGCGCAGAGCTTCCTTTTGTCCTGAACTCACTTCACCTGACTTTTTAAGAGATTCCATATATGAGATAGACGAGTCTATGATCCATATTCTTCATGGGTTTATTACTCTCCAATCACATTTCCTCACAGCCTCTGAGCCTGAGGAGTCCTAACTGTTTCCGTCTGCCTTCATGTGGCCGGCCCTCCCATGCCTTCATCATGTCTGTCGCTCTTCTTTGACCTTGCCTAGTTCCATTCTGCCTTCTCCGACAAGATTAATGACCACAGCTAAAAACAACATTCTAGATGCCAACACATCACATCCCAGATTCACCTAAAGGCTGGCTGATCTTGTCTGACATTTTGCAACTCTTTCTTGGACATGTTTTGTTTTGTTTGAGAGGCAGAGAGAGAGAAAGAGAGACAGAGAGACACTCCCATGGCTGCTTCACTGCCCACATGCCCACAATGGCTGAAACCAGGAACCAGGAACACAGTCCAAGCCTCCAGCATGCATGGCAGGAACCCAATTACTTGAGCTCTCACTGCTGCCACCCAGGGTCTGCACTGGCAGGAAGTGAAGGGTCAGGAGCCTAAGTCGGGGATTGAACCCAGGTTCTCTGATGTGAGGTATGGGCATCCTAACTGCTAGGCTAAACACCTTGCTCCGTGCATGCTTTCTCATTCATGGAAAAACAAGCTTCCCAGACTTAGGATTAGAATGTTTCTCAGAGGCAGCTTTCCATCCGTCTGTCTGCCTGCCCTCAAAGACAGCCTCTGGCTGGTAGCTCACGCTTAAGATAGATCTTCCACGTTCAGCAATGGTGGACAACATTAGTCATATTGATTCTCTTACTGGTCTGCTTTGGGCTTTGGGGAAGGATGAGGAAAGACCTCTGCCTGCCCTGGACACCCCCATTCCCACCAAGCAGCTTTGCCAGAATTCCTCAGAACTCTGCACCAAAGTGGGACAGGCACAGCTGCCCTGGCCCACACACTTGACTCTCAAGCACAAAATGAAATTACACGTGGATGATTGCCATTTCACTCTGTTTCAATGATTCCTACACCAACATCATTAATTTGGCCCAAAAGTCCCACAGTTTCATCTTGGTGTTCTTTTTTAACATCCGGCATGTAGAAACGTAGCCAGGCCTGATGACCTGCTAATGCACTCCCAGGTCGCCTGAGACATTCCTGACACCTCAGACGATTTAGCAGTGACTCTGACGCCACCCTCTCTCTCTGTCTCTTCTCTGCAGCAAAGCCCTCTCCCTTCTCATGGCTGCAATCACACAGAATGTCAGGACACCCAACGCGACATCCCTCCCCAGGCCCCCAACTCCTGCTGAAATCCCAGACCCTGTAGTTCCAAGTGTTCTCAAAGAACCCAAACTAAATCTGAATAAAACAAAAACCTCCCCCACAAAACCACTACAGGGGGTGGGGGGATTGGGGGATGCATTTGGGAACATCAAGGCTAGATGAACAGTTATCACAAGAGAGAATCTGAAATAAACCATAGTCTTTGAAATCCTATGTATTTGAACTAAACAGATAACAATAAATAAATAAACCCCACTGCTAACAGGAATTGTATCCGATTTTGAGCCAACAAAATAAAACTTTTAAGAGAACGCTACTTTACATGATGGAAAAATGTGTGCATTTTTTGAGCCAGTTCCTAAAAGCTTTACAGAGTTTGCATTTGCTTTTTGTTTTAAAACTTAATGAAGCTTTGGATCTTATAGTCAATTTACTTAAAATTACTCACTTTGGCCTCTAGACTATACTGTACCAAAGTTCATTGTGCGTGTCTCCTACAGCAGCTCTCGCATTGTTAAGGGTAAGCCCTTTTCACCGGCGTACAATGAGAAACACAATGCTGTCGGCAGCCCTGACAGCAAACTCAGCCTTCATTCCCAGGCCAGACACTAAGGCATTGTGTAACTCTGCTCAAGCCCCATCAACCGATCCCCGCTCCGGTTTCCCGTGATTAACTAGCCACGTTTGAACGCTATCTGCTGCCTCCTTTCTTCAGGAAGATGGGCGGAGGCATGGCTTCAAGGCGTTAGGCGCCTAAGCAAAGTGTTCTGTGGGTAAATAACTGTACATCTTGGCATTCCTCTTCCCCCTTAAGGTGATAGCTAGCTGCCTGGGCAAGGGCTTGGTGGCCCAACATAGAGCACAGACTACACCTTCCCAGGCCATCCGCCTACAGCCGCCTCCATGTGCTACAACTCTTCCCAGTTCAACCCAAGACACTAACGACACATGATCACCAGCTTTTCCATGCAGCAGGAAAGCCAGAACAGGGCCAGTATGAATTCTAACTAGAATTGTAACTCTACCCTCTGTGGGAGCAACAGAGGTCATGGTCTCCATTACTTAGACTACTGTAGTTCGTAAGTCTTTTTTTTAATACTGGGCCAGTGACGACTTGCTCCTTCTTTATTTAAAATAAAAAAAAAATTTTAAAAATAAAAAACAGTGTACCCA